CGCCGCCTGCCGAGCCATCCGGACAGGCTCTGGGGTGCAGGAGGATGCTTCAGAAACTTCGTTGCATAACGAGTTTCCCAGCCTCCTCCCCGGTCCTCCGCCGGGTTGCCGTGCTGTCCCGCGGCCAGGGGGTGGCACACGCAGTTCTCTTGCCGTGCGAAGCAGCGCTGAGCTGCAGCGCGAGCGTACTGCTCCTTGTTAAAGGCAGACGATGAGCACTACATCCCTCGGGCCGTACTGCTGGACCTGGAGCCCCGAGTTATCCACTCCATCCTGAACTCCCCTTATGCCAACCTCTACAACCCCGAAAACATCTACCTGTCCGAGCACGGAGGGGGAGCTGGGAACAACTGGGCCAGCGGCTTCTCACAGGTAACAGCTCCTGGGTGAACACACAGGTCAGCTGGTTGGGCGTCAGGCTTTACCCTGGCTTTCTCGTGTCAGGCTCAGTACGTGGTGTTTGAATTTGTCATTCAGCCTGACGCTTGGTGGCACCCTGGGCGCAGGGTCACGCTGCCAGTGTGACTTGGCTTCATGCCAGGCTGGAGGAGCTCCTTTCCATTTTCTGTGGGAACGGGACAAAATCTGGTCTGGTCTTTTGCAGGGAGAAAAAATCCACGAAGATATTTTTGACATAATAGACAGAGAAGCTGATGGCAGCGACAGTTTGGAAGTAAGTAAATCAGGGGATTGGGTCTGGTTGCCCTGCTTGGCATTTTCCAAGCCAGGCTGCTCTTTGACATGGTCAAGCTCAGCTCTCGGGTGCTCCCAGACTTGCTCAACTTGTTTGTAGGTGCCGAGCAGAGAACTAGTAGTGAAGTGAACTAGGGAAAGGAGGGTTTTCCCATCACTACATCTGCCTGGCTTCCCCAGAAATCTTACTGTCTGCTCAGCGGGGCATTTTTCTGCCCCAAATACTGCTGGCATTGGGCATTTCCTGCATGATACAGTCCATGGGAAGAGTTCCAGGCATGGTGCTTTTTCCTTTCCCATGGCTCTTCCCTGCGTCAGCTGAAGCAGGACATGCACAGATTGTCCTCCAGCGAGGCCCTCGCAGGCAGGGAGGGCTCTGCTGGCAAAGGCCGCTGCTGCCCCCTGCCCGCAGCAGAAGAGGGACCCATGGGCTGCTGGCAGGAAGGTGTTTAGGCCCGGGGTTGAAATCCCCGGAATGATCACGGGCAGCTGCAGCTCCGTTTCCTCTCCAGATGGGTTAAAGGGGCCCCAGGGGCACAGGCAGCTCTGGCTGCTTTGCCGTGAGCCTCTGGCAGGACCTTGGCCGCTGTCCCTGTAGACCCGTTTCCTGTGTGTAGACAGACAAGGCTCCCTCGTGTTCGTGTCAGCCTGTCACACGGCAGCCGGGGAGGGGAAAACGTCAGCGTGACATCCAAGAGTCCGGTGACGGACCTGCAGCAGGTGGGAGTGCCCTGAAGTCTGGTAGAGGGAGTTTGACTTCAGGCACTCTAGAAGGAGGGGAGTGTTGTGGAGGGAAAAGGCTGAGGCCGTGTGCCTCTGTTTTTCTAGCCAGCTGGCCCCCGGGGGGGACGCTGGAGCTATTCTGAAGTCTGTTCTGGGGTGGGAGGAAGCCAGGAGGTTCCTGCGCACTTTGTGGTGAGCGCAGAGACGTGTGTTCCTCCCGCGCCGGCAGAAGGGGCCTGAGGAGCGTGTGGTGTGCAGGAGCCAGGGCTGACCTCCGCTCCGCAGACGTCAGCTCTCGCTTGTCCCGGGG